TACTAGTCCAATAACACATCTTACTTACTCACTCATCTGTTTAAACTTATAAAAGCAAGTGTGTTGCACCCCACATTAAACTGCAGTAATTTCATATGGTGTTCAGTGAAGTTCAAAATACTGCAACAAAATCAAATACATGTATATTAACAGAATTATACAGAGTACACATGATAAAAAAACAAGAATTTGACAGAATGCATTACAAATATTCATTTTTAAACAATTAAACACTTTATGCTACCACAAACCTCTTGGTTCCTTGGTTGAGTTTAACTATTCTTTTTTCTTTAGTTGATGCAGGGCACCAGGCTGTGATATTTGACAGGTTCAGAGGAGTGCAAGATATTGTTGTTGGCGAAGGCACCCACTTCCTCATTCCTTGGGTTCAGAAGCCCATCATCTTTGATTGTCGTTCCCGTCCACGCAACGTCCCTGTCACCACAGGCAGCAAAGGTACATCCATCATCAACTAAACCACTGTAATGTTATTTTTGCTCATAAACATGTCTCTTAAACCTCAGGAAGCTGTATCGGTTATTTGTGAATTCCACATTCCTCTTGGAAAGGCTATTAGGTTGGAAAAAAAGCTGGCACAGCTAACATCTAGAGTTCCCTAATAAAGAATGCTATGAATGTTAATGTTTTATCTACAAACTTTGCCAACATGACCCATCAATGCAACTCATACTGTACGCTAGGGGTGCAACAACTAATCGATTCAAATCGATGACCAAATTAGTTGCCAACTAATTCAGTCGTCGATTCGTTTGTGACGTCATAACGTGTGTTTTACGTGCCGTTAAGCTCCAACGTTATCGGTCTTTTTATCTGTACTGGAGACATTTAAAACATGTCATATGTATTATTGCTACATAAACATTATATCGCAGTCTTAGTGTTGTATTTTCGATCTTTCCAATCCAGACAGATCTCTCTCCCCCGCCTGCTTGCGAGGGGGCGGGGCAGTTTACACACACGCAGCTCCAAGGTGTGGTTAAAATGTACCCGTCTCGATGTGGACAATGCTCGTTGCCAAAAGTGCAATAAGAGTTTAGCATGTAAGGGCGGTAACACGAGCAATTTGTCTAAACATTTAGCAAAAGTGCTCCACATTCAGACGGAGAAATGCACCGGGTTCGACTGTCTTTCTAGCAGCTCTGTAGCCCCATCACGAGTAACGTTTCCACGTCAGGTGTTATGTATGCTAGCAGCAACACACAGTTAACTAATTTATACAAACATGGGTTAATGATTAGAGGTAACTGAGTTATTTTGTTAAAGTTTCAGCTATTCTGTTCACAGTTCTGTCATCACATTATTTAATACGATTTGTTAAAACATTGTTGTTTCTTTTGATGTGAAATATTAATTATTTAATTTAAATAAAAAGCATTGTTAACTTTGTTTACAATTTTGTTTAGTTAATTTACCTTGTTTATTTTTCTAAATAACCGATAAGAGTACCGTTAAAAGACCGGATCGATAAGCGGTATCAATAAAAGTAGTAGTACCGTTAAAACCTTAACGATACCCATCCCTACTTGACAATGTGAAAAAGGTTATCTTTTATCTGATCTGATCTGCTATCCTTGGTTTAAAATGTTGACGGACACATTTTTTATTTCTTTCAGCAGAAAGTTTTATAAAATATGTATTTTTGAATCAAGTATTCATCTTGTCTTAATTGTTGGTTTCCATATGCCTAAAACAAACTCAAGCTAAATCTAAAAGTGGTTGGCTAAATAAGAGCGTTTGAGAAATTGTGCAAGGCATAATCCGAATAATCGATTATCAAATTAGTCGTTTGTTGCAGCCCTACTGTACGCTGGAGGTTTGTATTAGGGATGGGAATGATTAATCGAATATTCGAAACTATTCAGATATGAGTTATGAATATTTTTCTTGTATTTATTTTTTGGGAGGGATGCCCAAGTTGATTACATATTATCAAATGGAATAATTCAATGTATACGACAGTGCCATAGCTAAGTGTGTTAGGTCTAAAGGTGTGTTTTGCTCCGCTCACCGGTCCCTCACAGCGGGCAGAGCTGCAGGTGCTGATCTCTCTCTCTCGCGTCCGGTTATACTTCACTCGTGTTTATGTCCAAATCCATCAGATCAAGCTAGTTCTAGCCAATGATATGGCTGCTGCCCCTCCCTTCACGCAGACTCAAACCTCATCTTATGCCCAAATTCCAGCTGAGAGGGTCTTCTCTACAGCTGGCCTGATTGTGAACCGTTTCCGCACCCGCCTCTCCCCTGAGTAGACATGCTCATATTCTTAAACAAGAATGAGTATTGAATAGCTGCATTCTGTGCACAGGCCCTGTTACAGGTTGTTGATCTCTGTTGTAATAGGGTTACGTTACCCTAACCGGTTATGGTGTTCGTGTATGATCCTTCTTTCATTTAGTTATGTTTTAAGCATGAAAGCTGTAGGCCTATACCCGTCAACTGTTCAACCTGTGATCACCAGTTCAATTCATTTGACAAATTCAACTTGGTTTCTATACTTATTTGAACATGTATTTATTTATTTTTCAAAATTAAATATATATATTTTTTTTTTGCAAAACAAATTCCCACTTTCTTTTTATTTTATAGGATATGTACATTTCGGTTAAACGGTTAACCGTTTTTTTGGGGGGTCGAATATTCGAATATACATTTGCTTTCAAATTCCCATCCCTAGTTTGTATAAATTGTATTTGTTTTACTTGTAGTCTAATGTGTGCAGTAACAATTCAACTTTAAAAATCCCCCCCACAGATCTGCAGAATGTAAACATCACATTGCGTATCCTCTTCCGGCCGGTCACCAACCAGCTGCCACGCATCTTCACCAGTATTGGCGAGGACTATGACGAGAGGGTGCTCCCATCCATCACCACAGAGGTCTTGAAGTCTGTGGTGGTAAGAGTCATTCAAGAGTAGTTGCAAATAAAAAGATGACTGTTTGTAATGAGTGATAGTTAGCTTATAAACTGATTCCTCCACGGTTTTATTTTTCCACAGGCTAGGTTTGATGCTGGTGAGCTCATTACCCAGAGAGAGCTTGTGTCTCGTCAGGTCAGTGATGACCTCACAGAAAGAGCCAACACCTTCGGCCTCATCTTGGATGACGTTTCACTGGTATGAAGCTGCTGACAAATTCTGCAACACTGTCCAGGTTTTCCTTTTTACTTGGATTTTAACTTTAAGAAACAACTGTTTGTTTTGTATTCTTTCAGACACACTTGACCTTTGGCAAGGAATTCACAGAGGCTGTTGAGATGAAGCAGGTTGCCCAGCAGGAGGCTGAGAGGGCCCGTTTCATTGTAGAAAAGGTAATTATTTTTAAACCCTGTTCTACTTGTTTTTTACAGAAATGTGTATGTATGCAGTATACTCTCTATTGGGGAAAAGGTGAAAGCTTGAATTACAGTTTTTGTGGCAGCTCTCAAAAATGTTTTTGTCCTTTTTTTTAGGCAGAGCAACAGAAGCAGGCGGCCATCATCTCAGCAGAGGGTGATTCCCAGGCTGCCTTGCTAATCGCCAACTCCCTGATGCTAGCTGGTGATGGTCTGGTAGAGCTGCGTAAGCTGGAGGCAGCTGAGGAAATCGCTTTACAGCTCTCCCGTTCCCGTAACGTCACTTACCTGCCATCCGGACAGGGCACATTGCTTCAGTTGCCCCAGTGATAACTTCTCATATCATGTCTAGCCCACTATCGCTGTCACCAGCTGTTACAAGGGCCATGGAATGGGTGGTTGAAGTGTTAAATAAATGACTCAACTTCACACACATTCCTCCAACTCTTTCTCTAACCAAATCTGGACTGGGCTCTGTTGATTGCAGGATGGTGGGAGACAAAGTGAGAGGTCCGCGACGGATACAATAATGAATTCAACCCATGTGTAAGGAAGTTGAAGTTAACCTTCTATATATATATATATATATATATATATATATATATATATATATATATATATATATAGTGCCTGCATAATAGACAATGCAGTAAATTATCTTAAGATTCATCTTTGGTACATTGTTTCAGAGCACTGGATGTATTTAAAAAGCAACAGATTGATTTTAACACCAAGGGAGAACAGTTTGATTGCTTTTTAAGATAAGGTGATCAATTGTGAATGCTAAATGCCATTACTCTGTTATTTCTGCTGGAACGTTCCATCAAATTGTGTAACTGTATATTCAGATCTGTAATGAAAGGCACTCCTTTTGATTTCGGGAACAATCTACTTTCGAGCAAATGATTTCTTTGTGAATAATATTGCTATACCCAAATAATTGGAACGTGCCTATCTGGTAGTAAAGAATGATCCTTCATTATTTTCAGTTGTTTCTTTAGTTTGTGTGGACAAAGTGTATGCCCCATGTCACAGAAATGACTTAACAATAAATGTGTCTTTCTATCTCCCAAGTTCTCACTTATTGTATATGTATAATCCTAATCACCACAGGAGGTGTGTCAAAATGTATTCCCATTTAAAAAAAACATGAAGAGTCATTTGCACTGTTTAGTTGCAAACATTAAAACTATGCAACTGATAACTATTAGTGTAATACAAATATATTTAAGAAGGGATGGTTTATTTGAATCAAATAACTACATTTTAAATGTATTATAAAATATTCATTTTAAACCCGTATCCTATGTATGATCGCGAATGTTATTTATCTCTAAGTATCATGCTGGAGTCTCCAGAGGCAATTGTGAAATACGTAAAATAATTTACCTGGGAGCGCTGAAAACACTAAGTTAAGAACCAAACACCAAACTATCAAATTCGTGGGGTATGAAAAAAATATTAAGATACTAGTATAATTAGAATAAATGAATGACACTTCGCAAAGGATTTCTCCTTTGAGGGGATAAATCAGTCCTAAGGGTCTTCTCATTATTTCATTAATCGAGGATTTCAGCTCAGCGCGTGTGCGCGCATCGTCCCCTGTCTGGTTTGGAGGGGAGACCCAGACACGCTGCCGCGCGCCTGCCCAGACAGCGGCCTGAATGCCTGGGATGAGCGCGGGACGGCGGTGGGACGCGCGAGAGCTTGGCCGGGCCACGTAGCGGGGCTAAAGACACCGGTAAGCAGGTACCTCCGCTCCGCAGCGTGCACATCAACAGATAACTTAAACATTTGCAGAAAGATTAGATTATTGGCTTCTCTTAATGCACATCCGCAAATGTAGAGAGAGTGAGCGAGAGAAGTGCGCGTGCAAACCTGAATCTGTGCAACTCTGATTGCACGAACGCAAGAGAGAGGTCGCTCTCGACGGAGGTAAGCCAGCAAACCGACAACAAAATGTTTCAATATAACTTAATTGTATGCACTTACATGTATGACAAGCATGGCAGCTGCTAGGAGAAAACATACGTAGTTCGCTGGTGGACGCAGCTACGGTTAGAAATGTCGGTCAGCTCGGCTAGCACTGACTTGGTGACAGTGTCGAGTTGAGTGGGTTTGTCAGAAGCGTACAGCAGCCCGGGTTTTGTCAGCAAAGCGTTGCTTTTCATCTTGCACGACAATAAAGATTCATTGATAACAAAGCATGACATCGCTTCTTCATCCAGCTTCATATGGGTCCGATAGCTGTCATACTTTCCCCTTCAAAGTGCAGCAGCGAAATTAAGTGTAACGTTAATGCTAAATATCTGACGTTATTGCTAGCTCTTAGCTAACTAGCCCAAATCTGGGCGGTTTGTGGTAAAAAAGTGAAAGTCTTGTTTCTGTTGTTAGCTAATGCATGTTAGCAAATACTAGCCATAAGATGGTACAGCTTGTGCATATTAACATGATTCTTGTTGAGGTGGAGTAACCTTTCCCTGCACTATAATGTCTAATGGCTGCACCTTGAGCTAATGTAGCCAAGTTAGCTTTTCATGTGTGTGCAGGTTAGTACCTATGGAGTATTGCTAGCTAGCTAAGTAGCCTAAGTTGCCCAGGCCTGCACAATGTTACTGCTGTTCGGTGTATAGTGTTGCCTTTTGATTTAACCCTTTCTTTGCTTCGTACGCACGTTAGCACCTAGGGTTGTAGCTTAAAAGATTTCCCTCAGCAAGATTCAGCTATAAAACCAGAAAGTAGCTGCTGCACTATATTACGTCATACTTGCCAAATGTATGTAGTTTTTCGCAGTTTTTAGTAACCTTGTTCGCCAGAAATAGTAAGCTTGTTTTACCTTATCCACCCGTTTGCATTTCATTCATGTCTCATGTTAACAGACAAAAACACATTTGAATCAAAAGAGCCACATTGAATGGGCCCATGTTATCTTTCCTCTATTTATAACAGAGACATCAAAGTTGTGGATATCAGTGGACTGCTGTCAGGCCTGACTCTGGGCAGTGATGAAAATAAAGAACTTGGAAAGGGATAGCTTGGCCTAAGATAATACAACATCACTTTTACTTTGATACCACTGAGTTATACCAGGACAAAAACACTTGGTACTGCTCTATGAACTGATTAAGGGCTTCAGGGCCAAATACTTACAGAGGCATGGAGCACCCCTGCAGTGCACCACACAGTGAGCTGGTTAAGGTCTTATGAGTTTGGACAGAGTGAGGAATGTGAACCTTCTCATGGTCCTCCTCAAGCTGCGAACGGGAAAGCTCATTAAAGTCTAGACTTTAGTGGGAGCATGGATTTGAGGAGCAATGCCGCATAATAGGAGGTCAATGTGACACATTTCGAATGCTTCAGAGGTCTCAACTGCTTTACTGTCACAAGCCAAGCATTAGTGAGCACTGTTTAATTATGTTGGTTAAAATGTTATACAGTGCCTTTTTCAGTGAAGCTCCCATCATGTGTCATTCACATCGTAAGCCACAGACGCATCTATCCTGCATATGACTGGCTTTGTGGCTTACCCTATATTAAATTAGTTTTGGTTGCCTCATGTCTCCGAAGCATGATTGAGGAAAGCTATAAATTGGTTATTGTTGAATAAACTTTGATTTATGGGCAGGATTTGCTGAGCATTAGTTATGCTTTGGATTATTTAAATTGGCTGTCGGAGAGACAGTTATTTATAAACGTTTCTCTTTTTTGCAATTGGGTGCAAAGTTCTTCTTTGAGAGCTGTCCAAACTACATAAAGGCAGTCACAAATAATCATCATTGCTCTAGGTTTAACCTTCTGATCTGACAAGGTGATTTTGTCGACTAATTACCAGTGATATTGAGAAGTCTGCACTCTACCTGATTCCCACATCAAAGGACTGCATTATTTCGCTGCGAGTGAAACTTCAAAATGACTCATCATTGAAAATGATAAGCTGGTGGAAGGGTTTTTACTCCATATCCGTTACATAACCACACTGTGTGTTTGTTTATTTGCAATAGTGCGGTTCTCTTGGGACGGTTTTAAGCAGAGAATTTTGAACTTTTGATACTTTTATTGTGTGTGGCATATTAAATACAATCCTTAAGTGAGCTGTCGTTTTCATTCAAAAACTCAAATGAAAAGAGAAAGTGACAAGCTGCACGTTAAGTCGGGTTCAGGCAATGGGTTCTCATGCAATTGATATTCCTCTGTCATCCAGGCGCAGGATAATGTGCTTTGTGTCTAAGACAGCCATGTGAGTTGCTCTGTCAGTGCCGAGCTCGCCCTCCCTCCCCTTGTGGTCTTAATGTTCTCTGAGCTCCTGCCCAATTCTCGGAAAGGATCAGAGTCAGCATGCACAGGAAGACAGGTGTGTCTGTGTGCGGATATTCTACATGAATGGCCTTATACTTGCTGAAGTGGTGGAACATATTCACATATACTGTATGTAAACATCATTTAGATGTATTTATGCTTGACTTTGTCCTACCTTGCATTTCTTTCCAGTCTAGTGAGATGAGGGAAGTGACACGAGGAACAGGAGATTCAGTTCAGAGATTATAACAATAAACTGATAATGAATTTGACCCGAATTTAAGTTCAGATTGAGTACAAAGAGCCAAATATGTGTTGGCATTTAAACCTCAGTAATAACGTGGTATTGGTGAATATAGTCAAAGTAAGGCACCACAAATGAACACTTTCTAGGTGACAAATGTTGCTCCAGAAAAACAAAAGATGCTTTTTGCAAATTGTGATCATAGCTGTCCAAATGATGAAGCTTACATCTTAGCTGTCGTTGCATATTTCAGCTCTACACTCATTATGTCACTTTTGATCCCTTATAGTTCCCTCTTGCTTATTCTTCTGGCACTGACTGTAAATTGACGGCTAAAACTGACTAAAAGTCATCTTTATGAATCGGTTTGGGGGATCTTTCATTAAGAAAGTCCCCTTATGGCTATTTATGGTTTCTTTGTACAGAAGACTGTTTTTAAAGGGAATATAACATAACATGTTTGGGATTACACCGAGGGTGGATGAAGAAATGACATTATTGTTCTCTCTTGCTCAGGGAGGTTTTTTAGTGAACAAACCACTCTGGTGACGAGTAGGGTGTAAGGTTGTTTCAGGTCAACCAACCGGCAGTCAGTTTCACATCATCTTAGATTTAGCATAACTTAAAAACATACCCCAAAGCACCATGTCATCAAATCACAAATGTTTTGATTTAATGCTGTGTTTTTCATCTTTAACCTGCATAAACAAAGTCCTTATAATGCAGGCTCCAAAGTGCAGTGCTGCTTACACTTCATTGAAAAGTTGAAATACAGTTTCCTGTGGTTGTACGTGTGTGATCTGCAACACGAGCTCCTGAGCTGCGGTTACACTATGCTCTCTAACAGTCTATGGGCGGTGTGTTCATGTGCGTGTGTATTGTAATGCTTAGAAAAATTGAACAACCCAAAAAATAAATGTCTTTGCGAAACGCTCAGATAATATATGTAAATTAGGGGGATATGAAACATACCTATCATCAAGTAACATTTTGAAAGGGACAACTTATTAAGGCCTAGTATAAGAACCAGATTGTAGTACAGCGAATGAATCTGTGTAGTAGTGGACGACTGATTTGGGTTTTTCTTTTTTTTTGCATCTGACAAAATGCAACAAATGAGACAAGGTCATTGCTGAAGTTGTATGAACATTTTGAATAGTGTTATTATTTGCAAAGTCTCTATTTGTTTGTATTGCACTCATCCTATTTAAATGAAAAAGGTTTTACATTATTTATGTATTATGGTTTTTAACTCTAGAAGGAAATCATTTCTGCATTTTATTTAGTAGGAAAGTGTTGAGATTACTCTGTTATTTAAATCTACTCACATTCATATCTGAAGGCTGTGGTTTTTACTCCTACACACAAAACTGAAACATTTGTGGGCAAATGTGGAACTTAGTATTTATTTGATAATGTGGCTGTAGTTTCAGTTCACAGACACAAAAGAATGGAAAGCATTTTGTTCTTAATCGATCTATGTTTCTTCTGTCTTATCTCGTAGGTAACGCACTGAATGGCTCTTCAAGCAATACAGAGAAGTCCTAACAGCAGTGCCATGGCGGGCATCCAGCTCTGCACCCTGCAGGGCAGCAACCTTCTGAGAAACTGAATCCATGATCTGCCTTCGTCTTACATACTAACAAGAGGAATTTACCTTCAAATGTTCAGCATCAAAGACACCGATTGATTTTGCAGTTTGATTTCTAGGCATATGGAACAAAACTTAGAACAGATTGTATGTCTCTCCGACTGCATTTCCTACCTTAAACAACATGGATGCTCTTTTTGAATCAGGTTAACTGTCTGTCGCCTCATCCCCTCCTTCCTGTTTCTTCAGTCGTAGGAGGGTGGGGGATTGGTGTGGCGTCCCCTGCCCCTCCTTTTTAAAGTAGGCTAGTCGACCTTTTCCATTGCTCTGTGCTCCCATCAATCCCAATTCCTCTTCATGAAATCCTGCAACAACCTCAAGGAAGAGCTTTCTGTACCTACCTTTGGCGGGATGTCACAGGAGGAAGGACGCAGGGCGCCGGTGTCCCAGTCCTATTTTCACTCCTCTACCCAAGATCTGGACCTGACAAGCAAGCTTTATAAGAGAGAGGTCGGAGGTAAGCCATATTCTGTGTTAGTGGACAATAAAATGGCAGCCAAGGCGTCGATAGCAGATCAGAACATTGGTCAGTTGCCCACTCATGTAACCTCACCGCAGTATTTCAGAGAGGCAGGAGGAGGGCAGGAGGCGGGATCCCATGCTGGCAACGACGTCCCCTCTGACGACACTGAAGATGACGATGAGGAGGAGGAGGAGGAAGAGGAGGAGGGGGAAGATGAGGGCTTCAAGCGGGAGCAGATCATTGTCGAGGTAAACCTGAACAACCAGACACTTCATGTATCCAAGGGAGACAACAAAACTGCAACCACCGAAGACGTCTCTGAGAGAGTCGGCAGCGACGATGAAGATGAGGAAGAGGAAGAGGAGGAGGAGGAGGACAGCCTCAATGAAGAAGAGGAGGAAGACGATGAGGAACATGAGATTGAGAGTAGAAGAACGAGGGCAAAGCGGGCCCGTCGTGGTTCCAGCAGCACGGGAGCTCCAAGCCAGCCACGGAGGAAAAGCCTGAGAACGGCTCTGAGCATGACCACCGCTGGGATGACCACCAGGGGCCGGCGGAAGCACCTGGATTCTCCGAAGAGCAAGCGCAGGTCAGCAAGATCGGCCCCGTCGTCTCCAGGTTCCACGGCAACGGGAGGGAAAGCTGAAGTGCAGGAGAAGGAGATGCTGGCGTGTGAAAAGTGCCCTCGAGTGTTTAACACACGCTGGTACCTGGAGAAGCACATGAATGTCACTCACAGGCGAATGCAGATTTGCGACAAATGTGGCAAAAAGTTTGTCCTGGAGAGTGAGCTGGCCTTACACCAGCAAACTGACTGTGAGAAGAACATCCAGGTAAAGCAAACTTCCTCCTTCTAATATTATGTATGTATATCTCTGCCTTCTTTTTTCAAATTCATATTTTATTTAGAATGATGGAAAAGTGCATATCCAGGGTTCACCATGTTCTCTTGAAATCATCTTCATGTACCTATAATATACATTTAGCAGCTGCGCGGAACAATTTGACTTTTTAGATTTATTTTGGATGCTTTGATGGCGCTCTTCTGCACACTGCAGTTAACATTTGAAAATGCAATTGTTGTATTTCCTGTTATACTTTATAAAAAAAAAAAGTAATATTGAGATTGTGGTGTGTGTGATAAGTAAAGCAAACATTACATATAGTAATGTTTGTCATATGCTGTCATTGAAGTGTTTAAAGAGGGTTCAATATGGTTTTAGGTGATTCAGCAGGTTAACCCCCAAGGGACTCGTGGTTATTGTGAGGAGCCTAATTTAGCTCCCTGTTTTGCTTAAATTAATTTGCACCTGAAGTTAGTTTGGAACACTTCTTCTTTTTAAACCATGTCAAGATGGGAATGTACAAGTGTTCTTATAATTCATTTAACTTAATGGTGTGAAAATACTAGCATTTATTATTGCAAAAAAAAAATGTATGTGCTTTTCCTGTCTAGGAGTCAACACTCTTCAACTTTCTTTATTAGGCAAATATGACAATAAGACAGTGTCCATCAAAATGTTCAATACATCTGTATCTAAATATATTAACTTATTTTTAAAATGCGTTAAAATCCTGGCACAGTATAAATCTGTCTTGGAACAGGCTGACTTAAAAAACGTAACGTCTGTAATAGAGGTGCTGGTGAGGCGGCCAACAGAGCTCCAGGGTCCATGAATGAGATGAGACGGCGCACACACAACTGTTTTATGGGATGTAGCAGAAAGGAGAGGAAGGGGGAAAAGTGTTTTGCCAGAAGGTAGAGAGAGATAGTGTGGGTCTTGTTGATATGATCAGACAAACATTTAGCTCTTGGTGTTGGTGTGTTTCTATGGTCGTGGGGATGTTTCTCTGCAGTGGGCCAGGCAGTCAGAAAAATGACTGCCTGTAACACAGAGCCAAAGCCGAGGCATGGCCTGAAGAGCAATGTCTGTCAGTCTTTATGTAAGACCAGATAACCAAGAATTGAGGAAGTTTTAAAATGAGATAAATGTTCAGAGCTGATACAGATTCAGAATTGTTTTATACTTAAAGCAATTTACTTTGAATTGAAGTCTTGCTTTGTTTATCAGTGTCTTGTCACAACCATAGTAAATCAGTTTCACAGAACAGAACATGTCTAAGTGGAGAGAATAGTTCAAAGTTTTAATTTATACAATTGAATCCGGAATGACGTCATCTACAAGCCGTATAATCACTAATGAAACCCATTAACCTTTGATTTTCTTCCCCAATGACATCTAAGCTATTTCATCTCTTTAGAACAGGGGTGTCAAACTCAAGGCCCGGGGGCCAAATCCGGCCCGCCACTTAATTTGATGTGGCCCACAAGAACTTGCAAAGAGTATACTAAGTTTATTATAAGGTTAAGTGCTGCTTTACAGGATCACGTTGCCCATAAACTACATGTCCCACAATGCATCTCATTTTTTGAGATGCGCACTGAAGAAACTTGCAATTATTTGCCCGAGACTTCTGCTTTCAGACGTAGTTAATTAAGTGATTACCCTATCTGATAATAATCCAATGCAGAGGAAATATTGTAAAATAATACATTATTTGATATATATTTATCTATGTATATTTATATAGTCTTAAAGTTACCACCGGCCCTTTGAGAGCAACCATCATTCAAATGTGGCCCACGATGAAATTGAGTTTGACACCCCTGCTTTAGAGGGTTTTCAGAACATAAGGCTGCTGTGATTTCCCCAGCAGAGGGAGCTAGAGTATAATGAAACCGTTTGGGCCAATAAGAACACTTGACAGCTGCAGGTTTTGGTGCTCATGATGTTTATCAGCAAGCACATTTTGATGTTTTTTCTACTTTATTGTGTCTTTTTAGTGTGTCTCCTGCAACAAGTCTTTTAAGAAGCTGTGGTCACTGCATGAGCACATAAAGATTGTGCACGGCTATGCAGAAAAAAAGTTCTCCTGTGAGATCTGTGAGAAGAAGTTCTACACTATGGCTCACGTCCGTAAGCACATGGTTGGTAAGTAAAGGCCTTTATTCAGTCCCTATTGTGCTGCACCCCCATTATATGGCATTCTAGGGAGGTGTGAGCCGCCAGGGGACTCAGATCAGTTGGTTTGAACCACAGCATTCAAATGTATGTAACATTTCTTATTTAAAATCATCAGATACACTTTCTTTAATTAAATAATGTAGAAGTGTTCTTTATTCATCGAGGCTTTCAAATTGAAAATGTTGATATATTACCTGATCAGTGGTTTGCACTTGTCTCAGTATTCTTTTCGTCTCTCTTCCCCGTTTTCATCCATCTCTTCTCCGATCCCAGCTCACACTAAGGACATGCCATTCACCTGTGAGACGTGTGGGAAGTCGTTCAAACGCAGCATGTCTTTAAAAGTTCACTCACTCCAGCATTCTGGAGAAAAGCCCTTCCGTTGTGAGGTAAGAAACATGTGGCCCTATTCAGACATCCTTTATTAACGTGAATCAGATCTACTTGCAATTCATCTTGTGTCAGAGTAACCATTTGTGATGAGCTTACCATGATCGTATCTATTAAACCTAAGGCAGACAAAATATATGTATGCAAATTGTCCCTCGTGATCAATAACATGTTTTCTTTCTTCAAAAATATGCTCTTGGAGCCCAACGGGGCTCGCTTGTCTTGTCTAATCTTTCTGTCATCCTTTCACATGCTGTTGAAATATGTGTTTCCAGTTGAACTGTCATTCACATGACAGAAGATACATGTTTACCTTCAAAATGTACAAGCAGACAATACCAGACCCGGCGCCAGAACAAATCTAAAGGGAGGGCATATGATTTTCATGGGAGGGCACACAACCCTGTCACGTGCTGCGGGCCTGCGGCACAATATATATATCAAACAGCGAGGCCAACAGCATTGCGCAAAGATGCACACTTATCGCAAATACACAAATAAAGGGCAACATAGAAATCACTTTTGAAACATTGTGTGCGTGGCAGCACAAACACTGGTAAATCACGAGCAAGGCACACTGGTTACGGATGGCAGCTTCCTCATCGCTGCACTCGGAGAGAAATAGTAGAGACGGAGACGATGAGCTGCTGTTAGTTCTATTATGGCATTGTGCATGTCGTGAGAGGTGTGTGTTGCTGTGTGGGGAATGCTGTCCATTATTTTGGCCAACTCTGCATCTTTGTACTGCAGCGTATACTCAAACAGCGACAGGAAGAGCCCACTGCCTGAGTCGGACATACTGTGGAGTGAATCGTAGTCACCTCTGAGAGGGAGTTGGTTGACAGCTAAAAAAGCTATATCAACGACAGCTGACACATAATAACTGCTCCGTGCAGCTGATCTGCACCAAAGTACTCATTTCCTTATTTGTTTCCTCGCGTATCTCTCTATCTCTCCACAAACTCTCACATGAAATGTGTTCTTTTGATGCGGCATGTCTTAGCAGTCCTTTATCAGTCTAATGCGTGTTTCCAGTCGCAAAAACCTTTGACAGTAAAAGCCGCATCAGGTGAAGACGTATTCACTTTAAACTGTCTACAGGGGAAACAAAAGGCTGCGTCTGCTTTTAACAAATCTTCAAGCCATGGTCTGTTGTTGTACCATGCAGCGGCAAAAGTGCGCTTCTTTCCTGAAAACAATCTCCCTGATTACGATCCAGTTTCACCTGGTTGGGTTTATTAACCCCAAGATCATCTGGGGCTGTTGGTCTTTGAGCGCTTGCTGGCCCAATAGTACCTGTTGATGTGCTGCAAGGTAGCATCTGTAGTGGAGGCACCGGCACGGAGCAGGAGGAGGATGCTGGTGGGTGTGGTACAGGGTGTGGCAACGCAGGTGGTGACGGTAGGGGCACAAGGAGCTGTGCCTCGGAGGACAGCGTTGGTGGCGGCCGCCTTGATGAGTCAAGGCTTGGGCTCGCTAACTCAGCCCCGGGGTTTGCCGAGGTCAAGCTTGTGACATTAAGGCGTGCTGCTGCAACGGCAGGTGCAGGGTCGCCAGCAGCTGCATCGGCTGCAGTTCTTTCATCGCTATTTCATTTTAATAAATCCTTAGACCTTTTGAGCCAATTTCTGATGTACATTGTGTAATTCAAACAGAAATGGGAGTCTACAGAATGCACAATAAACAAATCCAGAATAGGCAGCAGAGTGTGACGCTGTGATTTGTCTAAATGTGGACGAATCACAAATCACAACAGACACATGAATTTATTTGACGTAGCCTGCGATTTTTTTTGTTTTAGTTACTATCTGACATCACATACATCGTAGCATAAAAGTTCACAGTTTATTTATAACAAAAAAAAATTTGTAAATATATTTTTTTATTTGTATATATAATAAAAATCATGTTTATTGGGGGAGGGCAAGAATGTCAAATGGGAGGGCCTGGCCCTCCCACGGCGCCGGGCATGGACAATACGGTTTTTCTAAAGCAGCCTAAATTCCACAGTTTAATAATAAATGTTCTTCCTCGCAATCATGTCACAATTCAGTCTCCTGCTTGAACAAATATCGGAACCTGTATAAAGTTCACTGGTGGTATGCATTAAGTGCTGCTTTTCATTAACACAGACAGACCTAAATGACATCAAGTCAAGTGTGTCTTTCAGAGCAAGTCATTTGAACTTTCATCGGATGGTCATTGTAAGGGAAACTTCTGTGTAGCAATGCAGTGGGAGTCACCGACTCAGGAAAGAGACACGGGAAGAGCAGGAGCTTTGATGTCAAACACTGATGGTTTATTTGGAGCTTCGGCCGGAGAATTCACATCACAAGTCACAGCAGCCACGATCTGACTGCACGGTAGAGTTGCCACGTCAATTCTGAAGAACTCTACCCCAGACCCATGTATTTATGCTAGTTCCGAGAGCATCATCAACATGCTGCATAACAAGATAGAATCATAACACCTCTATCAGCTGACGTCAACAGGCAGGAACAGGGAGACAGAACACTGAGAGCACAGCAGCCAAGGTTACGAGGTGCGTGTGCTCAGTCAGGACAGTTTGAACTGATAAACTGGATCAAAATTATGGGCCTTGGAAAATATTTCCCCAACAGTCATATCATCTCAATTTATTCAGAGACGACTAAACGAGTCAAATATGACATGCCTTGTTCACCAATTAACTGGAGCAAAAGATAAATGTGGAACTAAGTGTTCTGTGTTTTGAAGCTATTTCTCTTATGGATGCATTTAGTCACATTGTGTCTCAAGGGCAGTAGATTTCCTATTCCTGTCATTAGTCGTGGTTTCATAGGATGTCTACAGGGGCCAGTTTACTCCCCCCCCCCCCGCCTTTAATGTCTAACCACTTGAACATACAGTACACAGGGAACATGTGTGTATGGGTGGAGCTGCTGTAACTGAATGTTAGAAATCATCTTCTGCTGTAACTGAATGTTAGAAATCATCTTCTGCTGTAACTGAATGTTAGAAATCATCTTCTGCTGTAACATACTTATCAGGCTGTATGAAATGTATAGGCCATTCTTCATTATGGTCTTAAGCTGGGGTTCCATATGGGAGCTGCTAGACCCCTGTTAGGCTGCATACTGTTAGGTGATACTGTGACACTGAATACAAATTACAATATCAGAGCATCTATTTTTGGACTTCAAAAATAGATGTGAAATTGTAGACATATGTCTTTGAAAACTTAAAGATCCAGCATACTCTGAAACAGGCCTATTTTGTATGTTTACTCTTCTTACCCTATAAGGCTACAGGTTTGTCAGCTACTTTTATTTGATTTATATTCCACATATGGGAAGGATTCAAAATAGGTCTTTTTTATTTACCAAAGAGTTTAGTGTTTTCTTTTGTTGTGTCTGTCAAAAACAGAAATACTAATGACGAAACAGTTTTCTTTTATGTCATTCTTTAATTTGTATAAATGCAACAAACAATTGTTTTTCTATTTATACAACTATATCATATATATAACTTTGTAAGCGTTGTTGTCAAATAGGTTTTGCGGCTCCACACAAGAAATTGCTCTTGTTAAAGTTAAAGGTGGCAGACCCCTGGAATAAACGATAGAGGAGCTATTTTGTTTTTGGTGTGACCGATTATAAGTGGTCCTTTCTTTTCTAACCAGACTAAATGGTCTCAACAAGTTAGAAAATGTAGTACGATGTTTATGTGAAGGGTGTTTACCCAGTTCAGGTTAGTTATTGATGTGTCTACAGGTATGTGTGAGTGTTTTTGAGTGTGTTCCTGTCCGCTGACGTGGTGTTATCTGAATGCTTCTGTTGTCTCTGCTGCAGAACTGTGACGAGCGGTTCCAGTACAAGTACCAGCTACGCTCCCACATGAGCATTCACATCGGACACAAGCAGTTCATGTGCCAGTGGTGCGGCAAAGACTTCAACATGAAACAGTATTTTGATGAGCACATGAAAACACACACAGGTGAGAAATTGTACACCGCTCGTCTCAGAACCATTATGCCAATAATCATAGGGTCCATTTTTGTGGCCCCTTTTTCACACAGGAACTGTTTAAAGGGAGATAACTTGACCAGAGTTTTGACAGGAACCTACTTCGAGTTTTAAAGCCAGGCAAAAGGCTTTTTTGTAAACTATGAACATAACCTTTGTACACCTTTTTTAAGAAGTTTACTTCCTATGCTACCGTTACCCCCAATTAAGAAGTAACTGTTCCAGAGGGTTTAGTTTCCAATGACCCAGAAACTACAAGGATGGATTCTCCTGTATAAGCAAGCCCTGGCTGTCACCATTACAGAATTGGAAATGTACTTTTTTGTAATGTTATAAACACTCAAAGTTATGCAGCCAACTTTCCAATCTAAAAAAGGAGCGTTCAAACAGAAAGTGCTTGAATTACCTACTGGTTAAACGGCAACCTCTCGCCCAACCGGCATCAGTCTTCCCTCCTTCCCAGCATCGACGCTATCTAAATATATCACACAGTCGTGCAACAGTTAATTAACTAGAACGCAAAGATGAACTGTTGTTTCCATAGCTTTTGAAACTTGTATGACTTATTCTTCTATCGGGGGTTACATTTCTATTATGACTTTTTCAAATCCAAAATACAGACAATTTAAAAGTCTAAACTGTTTAAAGATTTTAAAAAACGTTGCTAAAGAACAACAATGTTCCTGGGTTTACACAGTCAGCCAGCCAGCCAGCCAGCCAGCCAGTTACCATACATACTTTCTAAAAAAGGAAAGACATGGGATGTTTCCAAGATGAACATTTTAGCGGTGAGAGCCGGGAGACTTCGCCCAGTTTTTGTAATGAGAGGGATTTTTGTATACATCAAAGAACCGCCTTGCATATATTGGGGCTTATAATGAATACCCAGACACATGCTGTATTACATCCCTCTGGTTTTCTGTCCCTGCTGCACTGCAATTTCTAAGACCAAACTGAGCAGTTCAGCCTGTTTGTCTTGCACTGTTTTTCCCCCCCTCAACCATGCCTGTCGTGGGCGGACACACTGCTCTGCGTTGGCCCTCACGGTTCTATTTGTGAGGTGTAATTACGATGCCCTCTCCTCTCCCTGCCTCCACCATCCAATTTAGCCTGCAGCAGGAGACACACCCAGCCATGCCCTGTAATACGCGGCACACATGTTAAACAAACTTCCAAAGTTTGGTTCGCTGCACGCAGATTTTTCATGATTTCTTGTGAGCATAATTTAGCAGTTACAGAAGACTAGCACATTAGCTGTCACCTTTTGATGTTCAGTTTGATTGGAGGAGCTTTACACGTGCCAGTAGAGAAAAGGCTTTTAGAGAGCCCTTCAGCAGCCTGTTAATAGATGGCTGTGTGGGTGGTAGCAGGCAAATTCAGTATGGAGGGAGGTTAATGAGAACAGCAATCCAACATAGCTGCTGTTATCCACTTAACATCTACGCTCCTCAAAGTGTGAATTGTAATAGCTTCCTGCAGAGTGGGTGGGTAGATGGCAAAGACCCTCAATTCAAGATGCCAAGTTATTAACCATTTTTAAAGAAAACTGTCGCTCTTTTTAGAAAGAAACATTTCAAGGCAACAAATAATCACTTTGTTTTTTGGAGTGAGTTAATTCATTTTTTATTCGGTAACCATCGCATTTGATAACAAAGCGGTTTGTCTCTGATGTGTCATTCTTTCTCTTTGTAGTTCTAATCTGTTAATCGATTCCTACTCTCTGTCTTTCTCACACATCTGTCTTTTGTCCTCTCAATCTGTGCAGGAGAGAAGCCTTTCATTTGTGAGATCTGTGGGAAGAGCTTCACCAGCCGGCCCAACATGAAGCGCCACCGCCGCACCCACACGGGGGAGAAGCCGTACCCCTGCGAGGTGTGCGGCCAGCGCTTCCGCTTCTCCAACATGCTCAAAGCTCACAAAGAGAAGTGTTTCCGGGTCACCAGCCCCGTGGTCCTGCAGACCAGCGGCCCACCCATACCTGTCCGCATCTTCACCAACACCTTCTCTTCCTCCATCTCTGGTCCCAGTCCCTCGGCTGCCCCCCCGGCCACCACCTCAGCACCCCTGGGCCTCAACCCGACAGGAGGACCCCCTTTGGGACACACGTTCTCCCACGTAGAGCTCCACTCAAACCCCTCTCACCAACATCCTCACCCTCCGACAACCCAGCAACACCTCTCAAACACACCCCAACATGTCCCGCCTCACCCCCACCACCATTTGGCCGTGCCCCCAGTCTCCCACCTGCCCCCACCCCCGGCCCTTTTTAAGAGTGAGCCCTTGAACCACTGTGGGCATGAAGACAGCAGCTACCTGCACCACATGGCTCCCCCTGACAAGGGTCCTGGAGCCCCGCAGCACCACTGAACTGTGCTTCAGCTCTGCAGCCCCCCACCAAACCACGCCTTGTTCCTCCGCTTCTCTGCGTCCTGCCTCAGTCTCTCAGTTGCTAGCCCCCTGATGAAAGGGTGCTCCTCGCAAACGGGTTTAAATAAGTCAATATTCAAACATGCACACACACTCGCTCCACGTTTGATTTAAGTACCTCATCTACTTAAAGAACCCGGTCAACTGACAAATATTTCACAACAGAACCTTGTTCTTGAACATGTTTTAGGAAATCTATGATTTCTGTGCGAGTTCTCTAATCTGTACCACGATGGGTGTAAAGTATCTCCTTTTTATCAGAAGCTGCTGATAGAGGTCAACGTATGTATGTATTACTGGATCAACAAGGGTCAGTGTCATCGAACTTTTCTCTTTTTGTCAAGTTGACTTATGGTCGCACATTGACTGTCTGCGCCCTTCCTCCCCATAGCAATACTAAACCTCTTCTCATAGTTAAATGAGAGCCTCACCCCACAGAAATGATTGAATGTTGCTCTACCCGAGTCTCTCTGTCCTAAGGCTTTCTGTCAGAGGGGCCTCAGCAGTAGTGCAACACGCAGTGCCATAGGTTACAGTTAGAAGTGGGGAAGACTTTTTTTAGGGGACAGTGGAAAAGAGGTTTAGATTTTTGTTAAATGTTGACTAAGACTGAGACTCACATCATGGTTAAATGGTGCTTTCCATTCCTATATACACAATGTTTCTTAATTTTGCTTTCCCGTTTGATTTTGAGAAGTGTGTCATATTACAAAATAACCATGTATTGTGTCAGCCCTGCTTTTATATAACATATTTGAGGTTTGACTGGTTATTTTGTGATTGAGAAACTCAATTTATGCAGGACACGCACCCTCACACTTACTCAAGCACACATCCAAAACACAAAGACCATAGTTTGGTCACTGATAAACTTGCTGTGTTCAGTGACACCTCAGCTCTGAGCTCTGTTGGTCAACAGATGCTTTTAGATAACGGATGACTGTCAAATACTGCCACTGTGAGGGGCCAGACACGTGGCCCCATCAGGATTTACCCCACTTCCCTCCGCTGCTGTCGAAATGATACGGGTTACCATGTGAAAGGTCTTTTGACACACAAACAGTATAAACACCTGGGACCTTTTTTCATCACAGTTCTTAACAGGCAATTATGCAGATTCCTCTCAGCCTATATTCCACGGTTTGGTGTGGGGTGTGTTGTAATGTAAAGTTATTTTCCTCTTACTGATATACTTTGATCCACACAGGCAAACGCGTGTCTAAACCTGTTGAATGTTGCCTACTCAGAATGATGGCTGATAAGTCATTGATATATTGTTTTTTTGTTTTTCTAATTAGCTGAGTTTGAAGCTATCGGGCTGTTCTGCAGTGGACATACTGTTAGCACATGATAGGACATGTCAGGATACACAGCAGTGCTCATACCATTTCTATTGAATTCTTGTATAGATAAGCATTCATGTGATCAGCATACATTAAGTCATGTGATAGCCGATGGTGAGAATGTTATGTTTCAAAAAATAAGCATAAATGGCTGGAAATATTTGGCATGAATTTGAGATGCGTGGTCGTTAGCCCTTCACCCAGTCTGAGGCCTATGAGATATGTGTGTGTGTGTGTGTGTGCTCTCCTACCAAATGCTGCTTTTAAACAGTTTGCCCTAACACATGACCTGAGATGGAAAATAGCAGTACATTTAACATAATCCTCTTTGTACCACTCTAACGGTACAGTGATGCTCCGGAGTTTGGAATGTCCCATTTTTGGATTTGAGACCTGCAATTATCCTGCCATTTCTGTGGGTCTGAATACGGCTGCATTATTTGCATATTATCACGATGTCCCCTCGGGTTCACTGCTGTGCTAGAGCACTTATGCAGCACGGATCTTTGTCTTTTTTCTTTTTTTAAGCCTTTTCATTTGTGTGTATTCTCTGCACTTTACTGCTGCGTGGGTGAGGCGCAGGGAAGGGAGGGACTGACAATGCATTGTGGAACCGAGTGCAGTTGTGGCTGCATGAGAAAGGGTGGAGGTGATCATTTTGAGTGGATGTTTTTAGGCAAGGAAAGGAGGAAAGTCCTGCGTGGAGGCGGTTAGTGAGAAGTTACCATTGCAAATGAAGGACATGTCTTTAAGTGTGCGCATACATTTCATTTCCTGTTATTTGACAGTAATACACTCTTGTTCCCAAATGGACCTCTAAAATTGAAAGCGGTTTGTCCTGCTTTGGCGACATTACACTAGCCCCTCCTAGCCGTGTCTGAAATACATTCTTCTGTTATATATTTTTGTTGTTCAGTTTTGTCTTTCAGTTTGCTGAAAGATTCTCCTCCTCCTTTCTTTGTTATATAGAATGCACTTTCTACTAAAATTCTTGGCTAGTTAAGAAAAATAACATTGTATATTCTTTAAAGATGTTTTTAAAAAATCAATATACTTTTCCCCTTTGTATTTTTAACCACTTAATGTAGCATTGCGTATTTTATTATTGTATATGGTACAAATGTGCAGCTTTATAATGTCCTTGTTTGTCCTTTTTTTGTATGTTATCTGGAGATGGAGAAGTGAAGAAGTGGGCCTTTTTTGATAATGTACATTTAACTGACTGCTAACTTTGAGAAGTAAAACAAGTAGCCATGATTATCACATATCTGTGTGCCTCCTTTTCTCTTCCAAAGCTGTGAGTCTACTGTGAACCTAAACAAGGACAATTTATTAAACATGAAAAGTAGCAAATAAGGACTGCACAACATGTTCCTGATAGTTGGCTAAGTAGCTTTGCTATGAAGCTTTAATGTTGCAACAGCAAATGTTTGATTGGCTGCTATTTCAGTTCTTAAGCGTCACTTGGTTCTTGGCGCGATGCCTGCAACAGAACAATGTCTGCTGGCTGCACATGACACTGAATGTTCAGTAGCTCATTCCTTTGATTATCAAAGCTTTTTAATTGTCTGGAAAAGTTTTTCGGTCCTCTTCTTTGTGACCACTTCCTTTTTTTCCTCTTGGTGTGACCCTTCGCCTTGTCGTGAAGTAACCTATCTTTCAGTCTTCACATCAAAGTTGTATATGTATGCAGGCAGTGACCTTGCTGATAAGACAAGCAGTTTATTAAACTAAAGCTTCCGTCTTGAATCTGAACCTGTATCATACTTTTGTAGATGAGCAGATGCTTTTGAAGAAGGATTCATCAACTACTCTCACCAGTTTAATATCAAACCCAAGAGAGAAAGGATTGTTCGAAGTATAATCTCACAGACTACCTCTCCTTTCCTAGAAATCCATTGTTACTCAAGCAGCTTTGTTAGTCCATTAACAGTGTACCTCTAAAGAGGGCCACATTAAGACATTTGTTCTTCCCCAAATGCAGTGTGCGCTCTATCTACCAATGAGTCACATAATCCTCTTAATAGCGCTGAGCGGGCCGATGGGAAGAGAAAAGTGTGACTCACTGATTGTGAGTGGGTGGTCAGGTACCGAGGCTCACTTCATGAGCAGAGGAGATAATAACACACTGTCTGTACATCTCCATTCCCATTTGGGTTTGAAAATAGTCTGCCACCCCAGCTGTTAGTCATTATGCCTTGTGGTGTAGGAGCAGGGAGGCTGAGTGTCAGCAGGCAGATAAGGAAAGGAGGGCTTCACGCCGTGTCTTTCAGACGTTTGCTTGTTGCTCTGAAAGTTTCTGTGCGGTTCATTAACACTATTTGCAAGGATTTGTCTAACAAAACCCAGCTGTGATGCTAATGTTTCTCTAAATGAAGACACCATTTTGTTCCACATTTGCAATGATGGATTACTTTGGATATACCTAATTGATTTGATTCCAATCAGTTTCTCAGATGTGATGCTGCTCCGTCCTCATTACCTTTTCTCACAACTGAGGTATCAGCGTTTGTCCTGGCATTTTTCCGGACCTAAATACTGATCCTCATGTCAAAGGAGGAAGTCTTTAGACATATATTGCATCAGGACATCTGAACACTGGAGATTATTCCAATATTTTTCTTTCACTGCCCTAGGTTCACCGCCATGCACAATGTTTTCAATCAATCAATCAATCAATGTTTATTTATATAGCCCAATATCACAAATGTTACATTCGTCTCAGTGGTCTTCACAGTTTGTACAGAATATCAGTATGACAATACGACACCCTCTGTCCTTAGACCCTCACATCGTACAAGGAAAAACTTCCGGAGAAAACCCAGTTTAAAGGGAAAATGGGGGAAACCTCAGGGAGAGCAACAGAGGAGGGATCCCTCTCCCAGGACGGACAGACGTGCAATAGATGCCGTGTGTAAATTGAAAAGATAATACATTTGCAACATAGGTAGTCCAAATGTTTGGAAATGCATGTGTGTATAATAGGAAGATGAATCCACGAGGATATCCATCCAGGACCACAGCCACGAGTCCACGACTCGCGATCCAGGACCGCAGGATCATCCATGACTCGGGATCCCAGCGTATATAGACACCAAAAAGAAAGACATTTGGGGAAGCTGGGTTAATCGGAACATGAGAGTACACAGGTATAGACAGAGAGAAGGAAGAAGTAAGATGTCCCCCGACAAACTAAGCCTATATCAGCAAAACTAGGGGCTGAATCTAATCAGCCCTAACTATAAGCTTTATCAAAAAGGAAGGTCTTAAGCACACTCTTAAAAACGGATAGGGTGTCTGCCGCCCGAACACAAACTGGAAGCTGATTCCACAAATGTGGAGCTTGATAAGAAAAGGCTCTGGCTCCCATTGTACTTTTAGAGACTCTAGGAACAACCAACAACCCTGCATTCTTGGAACGCAATGCCCTAGTAGGACAGTAGGGTATAATAAGTTATTTAAGGTAAGATGGCGCCTGCCCATTAAGGGCTTTGTAGGCGAGAAGAAGAATTTTAAATTCTATCCTGTGTTCTATAGGGAGCCAGTGTAAGGCAGCCAGAACAGGAGTAATGTGGTCCCTTTTCCTAACTCTGGTTAGTACACGAGCTGCAGCATTTTGAATCAGCTGAAGCGACTTGACTGACTTCTTGGTACACCCTGATAATAAGGAGTTACAATAATCCAGCCTTGAAGTAACAAATGCATGGACTAGTTTCTCTGCATCGTTTTGATTTTATTCCAATCAGTTTCTCAGATGTTTCCATGACACCTGGCTCCAAACACAACATCTAAAAATACAAAAAAATGCATGTTTACTTTGTGTTTTCTTAGACCTGGTCGTGTTTATTCTTCCAACGGTCTCCCCTTTTGTAAATAGGCAACTGCATTTGAAAGTTAGCAGTCTGCCTTGAGACACACATCATTAATAGTTCTGCAGATATATTCAGTAAACTGAATATTTGCACTCTGTCTTTTTCCCTTCCTCCCTTTCCTCCCATAGCTATCCCACTCTCTTCTTGAAAGTATCGTGCACGCGCTCAGTAGGCTGCTATTAAATGGGCGGACTTGTAGGCGCGGTCACGTCCCCAGCGGCTGCGGTGTGCCTGTCTGTCATATATAAGCGCGCGTACCACCGGCCGACAGGCGGAACTCTGCCTCACTCCGAGAGTGGACCGGACCGACACCGGGGATCATCGGAACACCGCTCCTGACACAGTAATGCATTTTGCGAGAATGTATTAATCTGTTGCATGCCGGGCATTATGCTGTTGCTTCTTGTTATTTTATTAGAAATAAACGTAAGCAGACTTACCCCATTATTAGTGTTGGAGAATAATTAATTAATTGTGCTGTCGATTGAAATATAACCCGTTTTCCTCAGTTTTTGAAGAATTTTACTTTTAAAATACATTTGCATCCATTATATAGCCCACTTAAAAGAGAGAGCCTCGTAAATATGTCGTTAAACTATAGACCTAGTTGAAATAGGCATATTATTCTCTCGTGGACATTATTGCAGGCTATACACAACTTAATTAGACATTAAGCACAGGAGTACTTTATATATTATTCACTACTCATCATACAGTCTATGGTCATTGGGACCAATTATATTGTTGCACCCCACCATGTAGGCCTACCAGCATTCACTGTTTCCCCTCCATACAGACACAACGGAATCAGGAATCACGAGTTCAGCCGAAATCCCGGACTTACTTTACAAACAGTCGAAGGTAGGAGTACACACACACACACACACACACACACACACACACACACACACACCGCCTGTTCCTGTAAATATGTTTGCTGGCTTGCAGGATCTGCATATTTCCCATGTTTTCCCAGATTCGAATTTAATCATTCATAGCCCATTTCCCCAGAATGTTTACCTGTTGCTGCAGCAGGATGACCCCCCCCCCTCCTGTTCGTAGGCTACCTTTGTTTAATAAAGTCCTTCCCATTTCTTCAAACCCAAGAGCTGCTGGTTTTACTTTGAACTCTCTTTGCTTTTCTCTATTAGGTCGTACAATTGTTTCTACTCAGATTATTATGCTAATTCATTGTTTTAAATTAATATTAAACTCCCCTACACTCAAAGAAATAACTCATTGGATTAACTCAATTTTATTGTTGGCAGGTTTTCCATCCAATAAATATATGTGGCACAAACTCAAACTAATGGCATCCATGCAGTATAATGTAAATGAGTTAGTCCAACTCAAATTTTTCAAATAGAGTTTAAGTAAAATGATAACATTACCTTTATGAATTTAAATAATGCTAGTCCACCTAAATCCTATTTAATTAATTGAAAATGAAATAATGAGGTTAAATATAATTTAATAAAAATGTGTTACACATGATAGAAAACATGGTTTAGTTTTTTTTATTTTTAAATTCACATTATTCAAAACAATCCTCCATTCAATACAGTCTTTTTAAAATGAATGAATTTACACTGAAAGATGAAAAACATTTCTGAAAGATAATACCATTTTTAAAATGGCAGAGAAATGGAACTCCTATAATTAACTTACAAATCTCCCTTTGCCAAATACAATGAATACAATATAACAGGGGTATGCACTGCTCTTCTAACAGGACAATAACACATAACATAAAGAGTGCACTGCAAACACCAACATATGGAAATAGTGTTACAGTGTGTTGAAACAAATACAGAAAAGCACAGAACAAATGATTGATATAACGGCTCAATCTGCTCTGATTAGGAAACTCGTGAATAAAATGACAACAATGAACTCATGAGTCACTTCTTTTTCACATTTCAATCGAACAACTTGATCTTCAGACTTTCGATTTTACCATTCAGCTTGTGCCCATCCAGATTCATCACTACCTTCTGCATGAACTCGAAGGTGTGTTTGAGGTTGTCCGGAAAGCTCAAATCCAGGGCATAAATAAGTCCCAATAGCATGACAAACCCCACAATCACGCTGCCCAAGTTGTCCATGACTATATTGCCTTCGATGACAATTCCCACGTCCTCTGGCTGCCCATCCACATCTCTTTGAAGTGTGTATATGCCCATGACTGTGTTTGCCATGTCCCTCTTGGCATCTTCAGAGGCAGAGGCCTGAACAAAGACACAAACATACAACATATGTGTTAACTAAAACCTGAATTACTACATTTTATAGAAGCAGATTTACTTATGTGGCTCTCCTAATTGATCAAAACAGTTTTAGACTAACCCTCTGGTATCACTCAAATGTACTACCCTATTTGGCCACTCAGGATAAAAATGTCCACTTTCAAAAACTTGAATGATAAAATGATATGATACAAATATTATATTTAAATATTTTTCCCCCACACTTTTTGGGAAGTGTGGGAACATTTTTTAAATGGACAATTAGGGTAATTTGTACACAGTGTATTCGAGACCGATTAGAAAAATTGAAATTCCAAAAAGTATCTAGAAAAAACACAAAATCATTATAGCCAAATCTGATGTGAAAAATTACCAATTTGGACAAAAATGTCCGAGTGATACCAGAGAAGGTTAGGACCTCCAACACAGAACTAAATTAAGCTTGAAAGAAAATGTTTGCATAAATAAGTTATAAAGATATATTCCTGTATGTTCTGTTTGATTATCAACGTTATCTTATTTATTAATTCAGGTATTATTTGTTTACGTCCCTACTTAATAATGTAATTTGTTGTTATTCCTGTAGTTAATTATGCATTTACCTACTTATTTCGATATGTATTTGATTATTTATTCTTTAATAATTTATTTCCTTGATTTATGTGATTATGTAATTATTCCTTTAACAATTTAGTAATTGCTGCATTCACATACCTTTTTAAACATGAATCTATTGATTAATATATTTCAGCATTTATTTATTATTTTATTTATGTATTTATTCAATTATTTATAAGTTCTTACATATGTATTCATGTCCATATTTATTTATTCATTTATAGATGTATTTATATATAAATGTAAATATTTATTTCAGCATTCATTTATTATTTGTATTTATTTCCAGATATATTCATGTTTTAATTCACATTTGTATTTATCAATTGTATTCCTATGTTAATTTATAGATGTATTTATATCTGTATAAATGTATTAATTCACTTTTTTCTATATTTATTTTAACACTTGCCCGATGAAATTACTTCTGTATCTATTTATTATTATTTTTTTATTTCTGTATTTATTCATTCTTACATATATTCATTCCTATATTAATGTATAGATTTATTTATTTCTGCATGTATTTATGATATGTGATAAGATATTTAGATGTAAGCAGGGATAGGGTTGTGTGCCATATAATTTTCTTATTATAAATGTAAGTAATGGTGGTTATAATTGTGGGTAACACTGTTAACCAATACATTGAAAACATATTGTGATAAACATACCTGATACTCCTTAAAAAAAGAGTCTGGATCCTCGTTGAGGTAGATCGCGATGCTTCGCAGGATGCACCCCCTCTTGATGTGGATGTTTTCAAACTAAAGCAGGGGCGATAAATCAAAGACAATTAAGCACAATGCATGTGCAACAGAGCAGGTAGTTTACAACGTAGAGGGCTGTATCTGTCGTGTGTGTCCCTAAGCAGGACTCCTTACACCTACATTTCCACAATAAGCTATTGCCTTAAAAACACTATAAAAGCAGACAATTTCTTAAATGTGTTCATATGATCATGGACAAAAACAATACAGTGAAAAACGAGGTTCTCTGCATTTATACTAACCGAATCTGATATTGCAAGGGCTTCCTTGATTTTGTGCCCCTTCACTCCTCCTTTGGTCTTGAAGATCTTCAAGAGCTTGTCTGAGAAGTGGTCCAGCTGCCACATGAACTTTGATTGAAGTGGTGATGTTGTGATCCTCAAAAACTCCGCATTCACCTTAAAAATATTATTAACAAGCACAATACAACCAATTGTTACTTGTTAATTCTACTGGCTTTGGTGTTAGCTGTTTAGCATGAGTTTTGTATGTGTGATTTAAAAGTTTACTCCATGTGTCAAACGAACATGGGCAATCAGTATATGGACATGGATAGCGACAACTGCCCCTTAAATGTGCATGTGTCTGCCGGAAATGTTTTAACAACAAATACCTGCTAGCTAGTTCCAAACTGCAGTGTTTGCACTGCCACATGCATAACCTGAAAAAGAGAAAAAAGAGAATTAGCAATTGACACTGAACAACTGACAATGTCACAGATCAGCTTATGCAAGTAATGTGAAAGTAGCCGTGTACTTACCATAAATAAGAGGTTGCCCCAAGATGCTTGTTAATGCTGATCAAACTGCAAAAGACAACATAAATATATTAGAGGTGTGATTAAAATGCTTATATATTTGAATTTTCACAGACAACACATAATTGCCTAAGATTGCACAACCCAAAAAAAAAATGATAACAGATCACACTTTAAAATTAAGAGTCTAGTAGACATGTTTTATAAAGCAGGCCTACGTTTCTGCACAACTCTGGGTGCCTGCTTGTGAGTGAGGTAACCCATACAAGATTCACATATATATATTATCTCATTATTTATATTAAATATTTGGCAGTAAAAAACTAAACTCAACTGAACTCCTACAGAAACGAGTGGCTCCGCCTGTCCTCCTCTGCCTGCACTAAGGCCAGGAGAGAGATGGACAGACCTGCTGAGCTTTATGATAGAAAATGGCGGCGCTTACTCTTTGCATTTTTTGGTTGAATTTAAACTGAATTTCGGTGTACTGTGTTCAATGACAATAACGTTAAATCGAATGTAATATAATCTAATGATCTCCATTATCCAGTATTCAATGCTAACCGTATCTAGCAAGCTAGCTAACAAACCAGTTATCCAGCTAGCTAGCTTTACCTCGTGCACTTGAATTACTCTTTGCATTTTTTGGTTGAATTTAAACTGAATTTCGGTGTACTGTGTTCAATGACAATAACGTTAAATCGAATGTAATATAATCTAATGATCTCCATTATCCAGTATTCAATGCTAACCGTATCTAGCAAGCTAGCTAACAAACCAGTTATCCAGCTAGCTAGCTTTACCTCGTGCACTTGAATTACTCTTTGCATTTTTTGGTTGAATTTAAACTGAATTTCGGTGTACTGTGTTCAATGACAATAACGTGACATCTAATTTAATATAATCTAATGATCTCTACTATCCAGTATTCAATGCTAACCATATCTAGCAAGCTAGCTAGCTTGCTGTTTAGACCCAACTAAAAACGGAGCAAAATATAACACGGTGGTTTCAAATATTCTTGTCGATATAATGAAAAGGCATTAGGCCTACTTGGAAACAGGGAACATTCTAAACTACTAGAAAAAACAAATACTTACCAAATAATAGACTTTCCACCGTCAGTTTCACACCGTCAGTGTTAGACAAAAGGCGGCAAATGACAGAACGGATCTTGTGCATGCGCAAAGGTGATGTGCAAAGGGGCGGTCCCAAATGAAAACAATTCATTTTGAGTTGCTCTGTCTTAAATACATTTAATAAGTGAATTGATTAATGTAATTTGTGTTACACTAATGAACTATACTTAGGTTTATTTCTTAAATAAAAATATTTAAGTAAAGTGAAACAATTATTAATGTGTCAAGTCTAAGAAGGGCTTGAATCGTTTTTTTGAGTGTAACCAAAATTATTCGTTTATTTATGCATTGGTGTTTCCAGAAAGCGGAGAGCAGGAGTGGAGATTTGATTTCAGGAGTGGAGATTTGATTTCAACTGTAGTCCTTAAAGGTGTGGCATAGTCAATCATGGGGGACTCAATATTCACCTGCTGTTATGTCCCACCCCATCCTCCAGGCGAGGGGGACCCCCCTGGATCCAGGTCCAGGCGCTTAGAGATCACCATGGCTTCCAACTCGGCGAACATCTCCTCCGACAAGCGGTTCCTCATCTTCTTTGACTTTGATGAGACCATCGTGGATGAAACCAGCGATGACATGGTGGTGCAGGCCGCCCCGGGGCAGCACCTGCCGGACTGGCTGAAGGACACCTACCAACCCGGCCGATACAACGAGTACATGCAGCGCGTGCTGGCCTACCTGGCGGAGCAGGGCGTCACCGAGAGCGACATCCGCAGCATCATGGAGAAGATCCCAGCCTCCCCCGGCATGCTTACCCTGCTCCAGTTCCTCCGCACCCGGCCCCCGCAGGACTTTGAGGTGGTGCTGTTGTCTGACGCCAACAGCTTCTTCATAGAGTCCTGGCTCCGTCGCGCAGGGGCCCGCCAAATCTTTCACCGGGTCTTCAGCAACCCGGCCACCTTCAACAAGGACGGCCGGCTGGTGATGCGGCCCTTCCACTCGCACGACTGCGCGCGGTGCCCTAACAACATGTGCAAGCAAGTGGTGGTCAGGGACTATGTGGCCCGCAGGACGCAGGAGCGGGGCCGCCCGTACCAGAGGATCTTCTACGTGGGTGACGGAGCCAACGACTTCTGCCCGGCGCTCGCCCTCGGGCCCCGAGACGTGGTCTTCCCGCGGAGGGATTTCCCCATGCACCGGCTGATAACGGAGACCCATGAGGCCATGCCCGGGGATTTCAAGGCGGTCACGGTTCCGTGGGCCAGCGGGGAGGAGGTGGTGCAGCGGCTGCGGAGACTGGTGGCAGAGTAGAGACAGGGAGGGGGGACCATTTAGGGGCCAACTGATATTTAGTAATGTTCTCAGGTAAAATAGTCACACAACTTATTGTTCAAGGCAATACAAAATATGTGTATTGCTGTCAGTAATAATAATAGGCCTACATCATGTCTAGCTTCCAGTCTACGCACGTGCCTCAGTCCAGCCTCACGTTTTGGGTCAGGAGCAGGCGTGCACACATAGACATCAAAGTGGGCTTGAGCCCCTGCCCTTTTTCTTCCTCCAGAGAAAGTGCCGTTGAATATATATCTACTGCTGTTTGCACACAGTTTCCCCTTCCAAAAAGACATTGATTGAATACAAAAACATCAGGTCGGGAGATTAGACTGTGAAGTTCCGATGCTCTCTCTACCCTCCATTCCCGTCTCCCGCTCATCGGCAGTCACTTCTAACAGACAGGTGTAAGCACCTCCCACTTTGCAGTCCCATGTTATGCCGGCTTTTCTTGGTTTATTTTTAAGGTGAAATTACTAAACTGCCAGTGCCTCGAGTTTACAGCTAATTAGCTAAAAGACAATAACAATTATAGTTAACTAAGGCTACTAGCTAATGGTTAAGTTAGCTCAAGGTTTAGCTAAGGTAATTTATCATGGGCATGCAGGCTAATGTACTGTAGGGCTACTTAAGGGGAGACACTTAAAGTGAATACAGTCAAATGTGTATCTAATAACGTCATCACAATCGCCACAATGATATGCAAATTAGGCGTTAACTATAGGCCTAATTAAAATGCGCCAATTTGCATACAGTTACCAAGGCTTTGCAGGTGAAAAGGATACAACTAAAAAACACATCACCTCACAACTTCCCCAGATAGTTACTTACGTCAAGTCAGTATTTTCCCCTGCAATGTTATGTTTAAATGTAGATTAGCTTTAAATCTATAGATGAATTCTGACATGGTAGTAAAACGAACACCATTTATATGTGTTTCTTGGAAGTTTTATTTCCATTAGTGAAAGAAAACATGGAAGCAAAATAGACCAAAATACATGAAAAAACAATATTTTTGCCTGTAATGTCCTTAAACAGTAACTTCATAATGTTGATTGTTGGCTGCTCATTTAATAACTATTAATTTGACTAGTTTGTTGTCTGCTCTTGTGCTTAGTGAATACTAAAAAAGACCATTGTCTCTGTGTTAGCTGATTATTTTGTAGAATTCTGTTGAGTATTAAACAATTGCGTGCGTGTGAGGGTATTAAAATAAATTGGTCGGTAAGTCAGAGATGTGCAACTATATTTAACTTTTTTTTAAACTTTTTTTTTTTTATAAATGATTATGGGAAGTGCCCTTTTTGTCACTTGAGCACCCGCCCCCCAAAATGTCTGTGCACGTCCCTGGTCAGGAGGTCACTCCGAACAGAGGCCAGGGTTATCAACAGCAGGTAAATGATTAGAGACATGATACTGTAACCAAAGAGAGAAAATCAATGTAAAATCAAATGCTTTGTTGTATTTAAAAAAAATAATAACATCAAATAAGGGTAGCCTATTACTTTAAAAAAGTCGGGGTATTTGCATTAGAAATAGGCTACTTTAATTGAATGGGACATGGTACTTTTAACTAGTGTGCTACCTTTTCAAAAGCAATATTAAAATGTTAAAAGGTTATTTTAAGTGACGGGTTGCTTTTTATATCTATTGTATTTTCTAATCTGCATTTCTTTGAATATGAAATTATGTCTCAATATATAACATTTGAGTAACGTGCCATCTGATGGGCATTATGAGATCTACATGATGACCAAACAATATTTTCTGTCAACATGATTCTTAGAGTTGTCTAATATAGAAATGTATGTCGTTGTTAGTTTGTCTTACTTGTTTATGTCTGTTGTGTGTTAACTGTGTAGGTCAGGCCTACTGAGAAATAAATTACACCAGCAGGAATAAAGCCATCAACTGAAACCCTGTCTGAATTTATCATCAACCTCATCGACATCAATGTGGAATAATTCATATAGTCTATATACCCTAGAAAAGCCATATCTTACATTTGAACATCAGTACTTTTTTTGATGCTTTCCTCTGACATTTTAGGCAAGGTACATTCTTGCTATACCAATCGTGCACACAACAACGATACATTATGCACAAGTTACTAGAGGTGTATAGTCTTATAAACAAGACCATAATAGCAAACTTATTAAATCAATGCTAAAGGCCTTCTATTGCCTCATTCGTTTAACCCTTATTGGAGTTAAAATAGCTTTATGAGGGTTAATTCTAATTAAGTTTCTGCTTCTAAAATAATATATGCCTGTTTTTAAAGAATATTATATGTATACATTACCAAGTATTTCAATATTCATAAATCATACATTTTTATATACATTATTTCAATTAAACTGTTATCTGGGCAATGTATAAGACTCATTCAAAGTCTATTCATTTAAATGCCCATTACATCGATTATACAGGTTAATAGGACTTCCTCTGATAAAACAGTGTACAGTGTCCAGTTTATCTTTTTTGCATATTCCTTGCCCTCCTGTGGTCACAATGTGTAACTACAGCCTCCGGTAATGTTAAACGTTTTATTGTGAAAGCGCTCACCGGAGGGGAAAACAACATCCATTTTATTTCTATAGCACATTTAAAAACAACAGAGTTGCAAAGTGTTCTGCCTCATCAACCGGAGTTGATGCATGTATTTAATGCACAGTGTAAAAATTCCAATATAGGCTATAGCTCTGGGAAATTAAGAGACCGCTCCAAATATTTCTTTAATCTCAGTCTCTACATAGGCTATGGCAGCCATTCCATTCCAGTGTCTGTTAAATGAATGACATACACAGAGAAATGTTTTCCAGAGCTGTATATTCGTGGCATCTATGCCTAATGCGCAGTTAAATGCAAAGTGAAATGCTCTTGGTGGAAGTTGGAAAATGTTATCAATAATATCAATACAATAGTAAATACTAATGTGACGCTAAAATGGAAATGTAAGTTCATGCAAAATAATACATATCTATGAGAAACCTATAATTTGGAGGATAACTGCAGGATTTCTCAAATGACAAATTATCCAACCATTGAGGAGATGAAATGTGAAATATTTGCAATTGGTTTGGAAGAAAATCCCTGTTATCTCTATGGTTATTGGAAAAGAAAACCCAATTGCCCAAAATATCAAGTGGATAATTTTCAGTGATCATGTAAGTCATCGCAGTGGCTGCCAAGACAATACTAGAAAACACCATTAATAGAGTAAACTAAATGTAAAAATCATAAAGGAACAATGATATCCATTATTTTGTATGACAAAATAAAAACTGGTGCTAATTGGCAACAGGTGAGGGATATATTATTTACTTTCTGCAAATGAACATAAACGACATTAACCATGATGGAGCAAATAATAAGGATTAACTTCACATCATATATTTTCCATAACTATTTTAGTTTAGTGTGTAAAGGAAATCAAATCTTGACTGAATCTTTGTGAAACGCCTATGGCGTTAGGGTTTAGCCAACAAAGGAATATGTATGCATATGTCATATTTCACCTTAAGCATTTAGGTCTTTTGATTCTGGCAGGAGTATCCGTCCAACAATAGGCCTAGACAAAAGGCTTGTTTGAGACAAGCGAGACCTGCGCAGTTGCGATCAACGTCTTGCTAGTGCGTTGCATGATGGTTAGTCATTTTGTCCGACTTGCTCTGGAGGCCCGCCTACATGATACGTTGAAATCTCGCGGGACAAAGACGCCCGCAGCCTTGAGAGCGAGGCGCGGCGAGGCGGCGCAGTTCCTCTCCACGGGCTGCGGAAGCGAAATGCTTGATGGGAAACGACTCGCTGGTATCTCGAGCTGAGCGCTCATTGGTGGTTTTTACCACGTGCTGCTGATGCAACTCTCCAATTGGCTCGGCAAAAGTTTGTTGTTGTTTTGTGTCCGTTTTACGTCGCCACTTCCATTCCCATTTTTCATCATTGTTCCACATTGTTCCAATGTTTATCATCATGAAATTAATATATATATATTTTATACTATACTTGCACTGTTACCGTTTTCATGCTTTATATATCTTAGCATATTCATACACACTGTTCATACTGCTCACAGGCTGATATCTAGTGTATTCATACCCCTCACTGTTTATTCATCATTCAATTCATTCTATATTGTATTCTGTCTATTGTGTACATTACTTTTCACTTTACTGCTTGTTGCACCTGGTTAGAAGCTAAACTGTATTTTGTTGTCTCAGTACCTGTAATATGTGCAATAACAATAAAGTTGAATCTAATCTTGAGCAGGAACAAATGTATTTACTTAGTACATATCTGACATTAACGATTAAACACATGTGTGCATTCTTTATAAATGCAAACCGAGTCAAGCCGACTCCGGAGGTGGCGGTATGCACCTTCAAGCTGTTTGCAATCCGCCAAAAAACGGAGAGAAGAAGAAGAAGAAGACGAAGCCGACTCCGAGCTCTCCGACTTCAGGCGAGCTTTTTGAGACCTCCCCCGGCTGCGATCGGCTATTCTCGTCTACTTTCGAGGCGAGCCGCAACGCGTCTCAAACAAGCCTAGAGTCTGGGAGGTGATTTTTCCCGGTCTTATGCGCCCTTCCCCCAGAACCACACCTCAGACGACTATACATGTTGATGTTCTGATCGTCTTTGAATTTGGTCTCTATTTTGAAAGCTTTTTCTTTTAAAATAAATGTTAAATACATCACAAAAACATACATGTTCAGTGTGTATTCTTCGTATATTTACTGCAGTTTTTCATGTATCTGATACATTGTTTACACTTTACAGTTTGAAAGGGTGTTAAATAATATTTGGTTATGATTCATGTTTTTTTTGTTAATGTAAGAGCATTTAAAACAGGACCGGTCAAATTTGACCGGGAACACCAAAGTAAGGGGGAGGGGGAAACGAACACAACAGGAGGGTTAACTGTCCTTATGTGTCCAATGTAACATATATGGTCACGTGTTTAAGCAGCAGTGACTCAGGTATAACTCATGACACTGGTATGCACTCATTTTTAATATTATTTACAGTTGTGATGCAGTAGTTTAACCGGCTGGTAGCATGATTGCTGCACAGGAAGCCGGTTAACTGTGTGCTCTATCTTAAAGGTGTTGCATATGGGGGGGGGGACACCCTTATCAAAAGAGTATCATTTGTATAAGGGGGGACCCTTTTCAAAAAACTATTTTTTTATATAAGGGAGGACCCGGCATTAGCAAAATAAAACATTTTTATAATAGGGTTGATCCTTATCAAATAATGTACATTTTATATAAGGGGGGACCGACCCTTATCAAAAAAGTTTAACAAACTAAACTGTAGTTGTGCACCGTAACCACTGGAGGGCGCTAGATGCTACACATTGTAAACACGTCAAGACAGACGTTATAGCATGCTACCACTTCCGGGGAAGGAATTCAAAATAAAACTTTTACATTTGACAAAAGTGTTTAATTCACCTGTGTTACGATTTTGATAAGGGTCTTGAGTTACAGCAATTGTATCACACTATGGGAGTTTTAGTAAGGCAAATCAAGTTGGAATTGTGCTTTAAAGACTCGATTCAGTTACTTTCCAGCGTCTAAAATCTCCACCAATGGCGGCGGTAGTGAGTCATCCGTTGAACACTCACAGCCTGGCACCCTCAGATCAACAGAAGAAGAAAACCGGAAGTGGTGTCTCGTACGCATGGCGCTATTTAGGAAATTATTCATCTTCTGAAATACAGACCCAACTTTTAAATCATTTTGAAAATATTATTTGCTGACTGCATTATAAGAGAATATAGGTAAGTCAATTTTGTCACACACAAGTTCTAAATTAGGCTAAGCTAACGTTAGCTAAACAACGACGTAACTGAAACGTCGCCTCCAAGTCATTCATTTCTTTACTTGTTAGCGGGCTAGCAGGCTAGTTTTGTTGGCTTATAACAACATATACGTGAGAAGACCAACAGTTTATAGGGGTCGACATTTTTTCTTACCTGCAGCTAATTTTTGTAGGAGTTTTTGTCGACGAAAAGCATCTAAAAGATTGAAAATATACCTAAATGTTGGTAGTGCATGCTGTGCTAGGTGCAAAGTTAGCATTTGTGTTGGTGGTAACTTACCTAACGTTACTAGCTGTTATCATTGGTTCTACAGAACAATCAAACAGTTAATTAAACACTTCTATGAATCTCATAATACAATAGAATGTGTTGATCTAAACACAATTAATGGTAAATAATCCCAGTTGCATCCATTAGTATCCGCTCTCAACTACCTTCTACCTGGAGAAAGGTAGAAAGACCATAATGAATTAAGTAAATGTATATTTATTTTACGTCTGAAATGTTGTAGCAATGTCTTTTCGTATTGGGTTGATTTTTTTGAAACATGTATTTATGTTTTATCAGATGCAAAAACAAATGTTCAAATGATTTTCCTGCTTATTTGAAAATGTAATATTTCCAATATGGTCCTAAGAAGTTAGAAGACAAAGAGAACACATTGTGATATTGTATTACAAGACATTTAGCACAAAAACTGAACAAAACCATTGCTGACATTTTAAAACACATCACCAACATTTGAAGAAAGTCCACATAAAAAAATACTTTGCTCAAAAAGTAACATCAGTGCACATTTAATTTTAAAAACATGTTATCCTGATTTCATTCATTTTTGACCTTGACAATAATACAAAAAAATCCCAAAAATGCTGACATGACCCCTCTTTCAGTTCTCTAAAAGATGGAGGCTGATCTGTATGATGAGTTTGGAAACTACATCGGTCCAGAGCTGGACTCTGACGATGATGAAGATGATCTAAACGCAGAGGACAGAGATGTTGATGAGGTACACTTTAAAGCCACTGTTAACATTTATGACTAGTTAGTACTCTTTATCCAGTTTGTCCTCCTATGTCATGGTAATAACT